CATCTTCCAAATAAGGAACTTTGAAAACAGTTCGGTAATATTAATCCTCTTACGTAAATATATCTATGCCAACTTATAACACGAATAGTGCAATTCTGGTCAGAGAGGCATTATATATGGGCAAAAAGGCCCAATTTGACAATTTTTTTAAACCCCCCTTTTTAAGATTAACTAATCCAAAATTAGCTCAGAACCATTTTTTTACTTAAGGAACAAAATACTGTTAATAAAATTTTGCAGTATAATCCTTTAGAGTTTGTATTTTCATATAAATGATTATTATAGAGTTTATAATATAAAAATCAATTTTCTTTTCTCAGCAGCTAGCCCATATATTAAAAATTCTCTTTATAAACACATGAGATATAATTGAGGCAAAACATTTATATCGATATATCATATTTATTAGTATACCCCAGAATATATAGGTAACATACCCGGTATAAATCAAGGGGATACAGTCCGTAAGCCCAACTGGTCAAATCCGGGGTTTATATGCCAAGTGACGGGTTGAAACCATAAAAAAAGAAGTGTTTAGTCAGCAGCAAGAATGTTCCTGAATAACTTGAATGATTTCCTTGATTATTTGTTCCACATTGTCGGAAAATAACGAAATAACCTCCGATGATATGTATCATCGGGAATAATAGTATATACCGATACGTACATACGCATGTAACGGTAAACAGCCCACCATATACCTACAAATAGTTATTCTTCAAATTGCGGTCAACCAATACTATAAACGATGGTTCCTCGAATTGTGGGTCATCATGTCCCGATATGTAATGATTAGTCAATGTAAAAATCAGGCCACTATATGTCTAAACAATCGACAATATCACATTGATAGAAATTAATCAATTCTAAGGCCAACCAAATTTAAATTAATCCTCACACCACTTTTTTTTTCAATTTTTTTGATCTAGTGGATGCTATATAAAATACCCTTGATTTCAGGTTCAGGAATTTATCGCCAAACAATAATTAATGAAATGAGTGAATCCAATTCTTTGCTTAATGGGTCTACTGACCTTCAAGATTTATTAATGTGCGAGTCCTATATTGATGACATCATGGCCACGATTAATAACCTTTCTACTGCTCAATCGTCTACCGAAACTTTACCTGAATTTGAAGCTCAAATTCAATCGATGTTCACCAATAATAACACAAAAGATTCTTCATCTTCTCAATTGAACGATTTGTCATTGAATGATTTTCAATATCCAGTTCCTTCTTCAGACATGCTTTCCTTGGGTTCTCCAAAATCTTTTCTATATTTACCAGATTCCACCTCTTTTGATAATATATGTCCCGAGTCAATGCAATATTCGCTAACTTCTAACAACAACTCTGCAGAAGATACTTGTTCTCAAGAAACTTTTCTATTCTCTTCAAATTCTGCTAACCTTGATAATATCAGTCCTTCGAATCCTTTATATTATTCACCAAATTCTAGCGAAATCTCTGGAGAAGACTTTAGTTCTCCAGATACTCTTTCTCCATTACATTATAATCTCTTTCAAGATTTAAATGTTTCTCCAACTAACACTGCACTGACTGAATTTGGTAGTCACTCTTCTCCAACGGAAAATGCATTTGACACCCTATTATCTTCAGGTTTCAATCTTGATCTTGTAGACATCCAACCAGGATATAACAGAAAACGCGTTTCCATTGGATATGATTCGGTTTCTTCCGACGAATCTTCAAAAAAGAAACGTAAAAGTGCAAACGGAACTGTTAAATCCGTAAAAAAAACAAATACTTACCTCAAATCTATAAAAAAAATCGGTTCTAACAAACATGGGACAAATTCTGATACCAATACCACATTTGATGAAGATTCTTCACCATCCAAATCTCCCGTAATTGATGTAGATACTATTAAGGCGATATTGGCCTCTTTGTATGACACCACGAATCGAACCATCGAACCTTTTGGCCCCAATCTTGTCCAAGACAAGCAAGACGAACATTCTGACGAAGAGGATGCAGCATGTGATAAAAGCACACCTTCCAATACCAAGTCTTCTCAACCACAAAAAAACTCAAAACCGCAAACAAACAAGCAGCAAAAAAAACTTGCTCACAATGTGATTGAGCGTCGTTATCGAAATAACATTAATGACCGAATCAATGACCTAAAAAATGTAGTTCCCGCACTTTGCCATTTGAAAAGCAAAGATGATGATGTAATCGAAGAAGTAGATGGTATTCCGGCTGCTACGAAAACAAATAAAGCTACTATTTTAAGAAAAGCAACCGAATATATTGTGTACCTAAAAAAGAATAACGACATGTTTAAAGACGAAAATGATGTTTTAAAAAAGATTATTCTAAATATTCCTGGTGGTGTCGATTTATTGGAAGCTTATCTTACAAGTCTTAGTGAAATGAAAACTCCGCCGGATACTCCTCCTTCTGAGATTAATGTTCCATATAAACATAAATCATCTACTGGAAATTCTGGTTCAAGAGCATTGATGGCTTTGTTCATGTGCATCACTTTCCTTACGGATCCATCAAAACATGCCCAACCAGTTCGGTATCATCACAATGAAGGGCATGTTATTGTTAGTAACACTACTGAATCAGTAGTTCCAGATGGAATTAATAATTCACAAGGTGGTGTGATTGATATCTGGTATATATATTAAAATTTCATTTATTTTTATTCGTATTATTGTTGTCATTATCATGTAAAACTTACAAATTTAACGTTATTAAATAGGTATTTGGCTAGAATCTTTACTTTCCTTATATGTTTTACTTATGTCATCTGGCCTTCCCTGTTTTCAATCCAAGCACAATTCTCCCGTAAATCTGCTATAAAATCTGCTTTATCGTCCAAGGTTAAGGATGCAACAGAACTTTATTCGTCTCTTTCGCTTCTATCGAATAGTTCGTCAATGAATACTTTGGGATTTATAGTTGGTCTTTTTATCGAATTTTTAAGACTGTTT